CACACCGAAGAAAAAAATCCTTTTAGATTTAGATATGACACCACAAATAGAAAAAAAAATTTACTTAGGAAATAAAACTTGAAATTTTGACTCATGAATAGTTTTGGTGAATAATATGATTTTTAGGAGCTAAATTTTAAGATTAAAATAGACATAATACATTTCTTTAGGAAAAAGGTGCCTTTAGGTGATTAATATATTCCCAAATGTATAACCAACTTCTTGCCCTAAAATTTCTGAACCAATATCAATTTTAGGTTTTCTAATTTCTTTTAATACTAGGTGTTGACTCTAAAATATGGTTTAGCTTACAACCCTAATAAATAAAATAAATAATTTTTAATTAGAATTTTTTTAAAAGTCCTTTGAAATTTGGGTAGCGACACTATCTATAACAAAATAAAAATAAAAAATTTCTTAAATGAAAATATGTGAATCCCATTTATCACTGAAGCCAACCATTAAAAGAATATCAAACTTGTTGCTTCCCGACATTTAGGCAACTTCCAAAAATTATAAGCCGAGGGGAAAAAAATTAAGAAAAAAATATTTTGGAGTTTCCACCTTATATTTGCAGAAAAATGAAAAACCTAAAAGGGCACTAGATTCAAAGATTCTAGAGTAAGGAGTTGATTATGTATTTGGAAAGATAACGATCACCTAAAGACACCCTTTCTAATGAAAGATACCACATCTAGCTTAATCCAAAAAATATATCTTCTAATAATTACATTTTGCCAAATAATTTCCTAAATCTGTTTCCAAGCTTGTTTATTTGTCTAAGCTAAATTATTATATATATTTTTTATTGTGATATCGTATTAAACTAGTGTTGGGCCTCAAGATAGGAAGTCTTGTTAATTCAACATCGAATCCAATTAAACCTTAAAATGATTGGCATGTCGAGGAGTGACCTACCTAGCTAAAAAAATCTTTAAACTTAATCAAGGTTCATTGTAATTAGTTTGAGGGTTGAAACTAAATATCAGTCTTTATTAAATAGGAGACTTGTTAGATCGACTTGGATTTTCTATTTATACTAAAATGGCATATGTTTATTTATTTATTTATTTTTGTTTTAAACCCAATAAATTTGAGGAAGGATCATCATCGGCCTCTAGAATCTAAGAGACTTAATGATCTATCATCATATAAATAAAAATACCTTAATAATTAACATGGATGTTAAAATGATAATAAATATTAAATAAATAGGAAATCAACCGATAAAATTATGAAATTTGACACAAAATATATATACAAGCTTATAAGTATAATTTATACATATATTTTATGTAAACCTGGAGCTTGAATTCGTTAATTATGCATGTGATTTATGTTTTATTTGATATAAATTAATCCTCATATGCTTTGAATTTGTAGGTATAAAGATTAAAGAGAAGACTAAGAAGTAAGGCAAAAACAAGAACTGAAATGAAAGTAAAAATCAAAAGCAAGGATTAAAGAGTAAAGAAGAAAAAATTGTTTGACTTAGACACCTAAAAAAATCAATTCGTCACATTCTGGAGGAGACTTACATGCTTGACTAAAAAAAGAGATTCTAGCATAAAGGAAAAGGTGATAAGCATGATAAAGTGGACTTTAAGGCATGGCAATGTAAAACTAAAAGGAAAGTGACGTGGTGGACTAGAAAAAAGAGTCTATGGCTATAAAAGAAAGAGTTATAGGCATAGGGATGGAGGGTGGATGGCAGTAAGAAGCATAAAGAAAAACAAACGAAGGTTTGAATGTTCACGAGAGGATTGCACGGCCGAGAAAATAAGGAAATTGGAGCGGTAGCCATAAAAAATCTATAGACGAATATAGATTCATTAGACAAGGAATTAAATTTTCTTTAATTATTACTTTGATGGATTGTCGATGTGATATTTTATTTTCAGATTCAATAAATTTCTTAATGGAGAAATAAACTCGTTAAGTTAGGGATGGAGGATTTTAATTCTTATTCTATGTGATTAATTATTTTTCTCAACTCAAAACTCGATTCTTGATGTATGATGAATTTATATTGCTCGCATTTAATGCTTTAAGAGAGCGATCACCTCTTATTCATTTAATGACATGTGCTTGAGCCCGAGAGGGAATTGTATGTGTTAGATCAAAACAATATAAATCACTAGTTTACTATTAATCGAAAGACAACTAGTTCAAATGCGATAATGGAAAAAAGAAGTACGTGATGGTATGCTTATTTTACATTAGAGGATTCCATTAATTGTAATGCATTTAGATCTTAATTTAAGTCACATAGAAATATGGATGATTTGTTAGGTGAAGAATAGGGTTAATTTGACTAGAGATAGCTTATTAATTTGTTCGGGGAATTTCGTCGTCAAATATATTAAGATAGACCTTAAAGTAGTTTGTGAGTTGAGTTAATATAGTTAATTGCATAAGTGAGAATTAAATGAATCTATCCCTAGTTACTTTTATATCATCTTATTAGTAATTTTCAATCCTACAACTTTAGAATAGAGTTTTAATTTAATTCTTTTAATTATTTTGATTAATTCAACTTATTTTAAGTTAGATAATTTTAGTAGTGCAATTTAATTCCTTATGGGAACGATACTTTCTTACCCTTTATTGCATGATTAGATTGGATTTATTGCTTTTCTTATTATGTTAAAAAAGTAGTAACACAAGTATACAGATCATTCACTAAAAATTTCAGATTCAAATAATATTAAACAATAGGCTAAACTGAAATTTAAATAATTAAAGCAATTAACAACTAGACATGGAATTAAATAAATTCAAAAGAAAGGGTAAATGAACTTCAAATATTCAAAAAATTTAAACTTAAGCTGAAAAAAAAAACCACATGTACCACAAATAAAAATTTCCAACTAAATCAAGCATGAAAAACTAGTTAAAAGTTTATTGGGCATTTGGGTCTATTGGACTCACATTCTTTTCTGGACCAGCTTAACCCTAGGCCCAAGCCCATTGAGACGAACCCAAGCCTAAACTAAACAAATCCCAGCCCAGAGCCCATTTCTTAGAACAAACCTAAGCAACACCGGCCTAGCCCAAACTAAACCAAGACCTGTCCAGCCTAGATAGCCCATTTCTAGCCTAACCCAGCCCGTCCAAAAACTAAAACACCGCAGCCCGAAGTCATTTGTTCTTTCTATTCTTTGGGCCGAGGTAAATCTAGCCCAGCTTCATCTCTTTTTCTTCCTTTCGGCCCAAACTCCTTCTCCTCTTCAGCCCAAGTCTTTATTTTCTTCTTCCTCGGTTTCCCTTTTCCTACTGTTCTTATTCTGTTTCAGAACTAGGTAGGGAGAGGAACACAAACCTAGATACCAAATTAAATCTTGGTTCCCTAACCCCTGCTGGTATTCACGTTTCTGCGAACAAAAGGCACCCATTCAAATATCACACACTCATCTAACAGAAGGAAACTTGAACCAAAGAGATAAACTGCCAAAGTTCTTCTCCCAGGAATTAAGGCCAAGTAAGGACTCCTGCAATGGCCATCAGAACAGTAAACATGAAGAAAAAATGGGTTAGGTTTACCTGAGCCACTGAAAGAGGACAATGGTAAGGGTTGAACAAGACCAACTGCAAAAGAAAATCTGCTTCGTCTTCCTCTGGTGCTCTCGGTACATGTAGGAAATGAGCTTGAGTGGGGGAAAACTTGGGAAAGCCTTCTGTTGATGATTCCAAACAAACAAACAAAGGTCTTGGATGTGGTAATGGCTATCTAAACATCAACGAACTTTGTCTCCAGCAACCTCTGTTTTCAAGTTTCAGGAATAGAGCCCTTTTGAACACTCCCTCTGACCCTTCTCTCTTTGCTATTAACATCTTCAAAACCTTAAAGTCCTCTCCTTTCTAAAGCAAAAACTAAAGCCTAAAGGCTTCTCCTTTAAAAACCTCAAGTTTTTCTTTTTCTCAAAACCGAAAAACCTCGGCCCTTTTCTTTCTCTCAAAACTGAAAACCAGAGAGCCTCCTTGAAACTCTAAAACCACCTCTCTTTTAAAACTCACTATCCTCTCTATCCCCACCATTTGATCTCACTGAAACATCCTGACCCTCCACCTAAAACGCTCGTCTTTTGTCCTCACACCTTACTGTCATTTTCCATTTTGTAGCTTATCTTGCGACCAAAGCAAAAGGAATGACAGTGAGCTGTCCTGAGAGAGGGAGTGTATTGATGAGCTGGTCTCTTGTTAGACCATAAGATAAATGCCAAAAATTTCTCGTTTTTGTCTCCGGTGCAGGGTTTGTTTTTGCAAGGAAGAGGGAGATCCACAGCAGCATGGCTGGGTCTTTGAATTTCTTACTTCGAACGACAGGTCATAAAGTAAGAAGCATTTATGTTGGTGCTGTCGTCCGCATCTTTCCTCCACTCTCCTCCCTCAGTAGTTCAATTTCTCTTCGATTAGATCCCTTAAGCTTTTTATTTTAGTCCTCATAGGTTTTATTTGCTCCCACTACGCGTAATGTTTTTTCAATTGTTCCCCGAGACTTCTAACATTTTGAATTGCCCAAGATATCTTTTAAATTAATTACAATTAGACCCTTAAAAACTAAAATTAAATCTAATTCTTTTTTGTATTTTTTTTTTTTTTTGGGTTTCATTTTGCTGTTGTTTCATGATGAAATAACTAAAGGAGAAATTAATCGAAAAACAATTTGTATTTTCCTCTCTCTCTCTCTCTCTCTCTCCCTCTCCCTCTCTCTCTCTCTCTTTGTTTTTGTTTTTGTTTTATCTTCAAAAATAAAAAAAATTAAAATCTATAATAAAATAAAATTAATAATAAATAAATAAAACTAAACTAAAATTCATGTATCATCAAATGTTGTGAAATAAAAATAAAATAAATTAAAGGAATTAATCTGATTAATTTGGAGTTCTAAAATTGGATTATGACAAAACTCATGTTATAGTTGTCAAAATAATATTGGTTCATCAATCACGATCTTGAGACTTTTCATAATTTTTTTATTTTTATTTTTTTGAAAAAAGATATGATCTAGGGACTGTTTACTTACGGCATTGGTATTCCAAGTCAAGACACATAAACAAAGCAAGGGAAAAAATCTGTGGAAAGCAATGTCCTGTTCCAAGTGTTGGTTTCTTGTCGGAAAGAGAGAATAACGTTCACTACAAGACTAGTTTATCTAATCTATCCATAAATATATTCATTTTGTCCAAAGAAGAGCAGAAGGCTTCAAGCGTATCACCAAACACAAGCAAAAACCTTCTTCCTCACCTTTTCGTATCTAGGTAACTTATTAGATTCTCGTCTCTTCCTCTTTTTTCTAATAAAGTATTTGCCTTTTTCTTTTTGTCTTTTATTTACTTTTGACCTTTCATGTCACATATTCAACTGGGTTCATTGATTTTTTATTTTTATTTTTTTTCCTTTTCAGCTTGTTTGGTTGCTGAGAATTGAAAGGAGACATACGATTGAAACCCACCAAAAAAGATTGAATCTTTTTCCGTTTCTTCTGTTTTATCAGCTGGTAAAGTTCAAGTTTGATACTGGGTGTTCTTTATTTTTTCCTCAAGTTTTAAGTTTCAAGTTTGTTCTTGGCTGGTTCATATGAGCTTTTGCATTTCTCTTGCTGTTGAATTGGTGGCCTAGAGTTTTCTTCTTTGTTATGTCTGGTTGCTGATAAAATTAGAAGAAAAAGATGCGAAAGATTAGGATTTCTTTGGTTCCTATTTGGAGATTGATTTAGCTGAAGTAGGTAATTTGATCCGTGGTCCATGATTGATTTAGCGATAGTATGTGGCTATATCAGTATTCAATTCGTGAAATTGATGAATGGATGCTTATCAATCTTCAGATTAAAGAATGTTGTTTGTTCGTAGGAATGGAATATTCTAGTTTTGAAGTTTGTTACCATCTTGTATACAATTTGTGCATCTCAAGGTTTGGAATTTCATATGGTTATTCAGATTTGATGCCTCATCTTCGCTTGTTTTGTTGGTTAGAATCGGCTGGATTTGTTGATGTTGGCTTAGTATGACTGAAAGCAATAGCAATGCAAGTGTGAGCTCGACATCAAGTTTGAATAGCAGCGTTCCAGACACAGAGGATGACCAAACCATTGCAAGTATCTTAGCAGAAGAGGAAAACTCTCATGTTGCGGGAAGGCTTGGGAAGAGACTCTCACATTTGGACTCCATACCAGTATTTTCCTCTCCACATCTATATTTCAGTCCATGCTACATGCTTACATATATATGACATTTCAAATATTGGTTTACATGGGCGTTACATGTTTTTTTGTTTCATTGGTAGTGTATGGAAAGGCCAATTTGGAGAATTATAGTCAATTTTAACCTCTATTGACTTTGTACGCCATAAAAACGGGCTGTAGATATGTGATGCTGAACCAATTTATACTGCAGTCTTGGGGATTAGTTATGATGGGTAAAAACAGGGTGGTGATATAACTCTTTAATTTAGGCAAAACCGGGGATAGTTCTAGGTACCATTGGTGCTGTAGGGCTTTGAATTGATGCATTCCGCATATGTATATCTAGCTTCTATTTATAAATAATCAAAACAAGTAGCTTATCTCATATTTTGGCCGTTAAATTTCTCCTTACAGCAAAGCCTGATGAAGTAAACAATGATCCAAATCTAAAATTAAGAATTATGCCCAATCACCCAGTGGACAGTCATGTGCCTATCCTTTAAGTCATCCAAAAAATAAAAGATTAAAACGATCAGTCCCTAAACACACAAGGAAGCATTAACAAAACAGTGTGAATTATGGGATATTTGTTGCTGCATAAGCCAGGCATACAACCCATAGTTCCTTGCTGAAAGTAAGGGTTCTATTGTTGTATGTTCACTTTGCCTTCAAATTAGCTCGCAGCAAGCATGTGTTTTGAGGAACGGAGTAGGAAGTGCTTCCTGGATTATGTTGTCCAAGGCTTCTTTCTACAACTTTCATAATTATACAACATATCTGGCACTTACTTCTATGTTTGTGATTGGTTATAGATTTCTTTAAACCTAGTTTATACTCTATATTAACCAATTAGTTGTAAATAGGTAAAAAGATACACATAATTGTTGTTGTTTTTTTGTTTCGCTATGTTCTTCTGCTGTTGAATTAAGCTGTGTATTACTCATAGATTCAATGTGTTGGCAGCACACTCCTCGGGTGAATGGTGAGATACCTGATGTGAATGATGCAACGTTAGACCATGGGCGGCTGTCTGAAAGGTTGTATTTTTGTCATGCACCCTTCATCCTGTTTCTTATTCATTCTTGTATCACTTACATGGTGCATTTCTTTTTTAGCTTAGCTAGTATGTAATGAAGCATGCCTATAATTGTTATCTTTTTTTTGGTTCTTGCCTTTTCTCATCAGCGTAATGGATTTAGTTTCAGTTGGTAGCATCCTTTTTGTAGGTTCATTTTGAAAATGATATCTAGGGTCGCTTTGGTGTTTTATGGCCCTATGAGCATATTTTTCCATGTATAGACTTTGATTTGTGATGGTTAAGTAAGATTGTAAATGCTGGCTTATTGGCATCTACTGTGCAAAGATTATAGTTTATCTTTCATTTATCTTAATAGTTTCATTTCTTTCAGGTTGGCAACATATGGTTTAGAAGAACTGCGAATTGAGGGCGATGGGAATTGCCAGGTTTGACTACCATTACCATTACCACTTTCTTCAAATGAATTGTTTATATAACTGTACATGTAAGGATGTTTGAATGAGTCCCCCAAGTTACCTTGAGAACTCTATTACAGAATATGCTTATAAACTATTGGTTTGTTTTATTTGACAGTTTCGAGCATTAGCAGACCAATTGTTCTGTAGTCCAGATTACCACAAGCATGTAAGGAAGCAAATAGTCAAGCAGGTATGGTTGATAAATCTCTACACATGAATGTACTAATTCATTATACGTGGGGAAAGACAGAGGTTGTGTGGTGGAAAAACGGCCACTAGTGGCCAACTTCTAATACATCCACATGTGTCTGGCATTATTCATGAGTCTGCTATATATAGTGTTTATTTTCTATGAAATTGCTCTGTCATGTTTCACTAATTTCTTATCATTGTTTCATTTATCTTCCCTTTCAGCTAAAGCGTTTCAGAAAATTATATGAAGGATACGTCCCTATGAAGTACAGAAGCTATGTGAAGAAGATGAAAAAGTTAGATTTCTATGGTGATGCATACTAGTTTTTTTCCTGCAAAAATTGGAAAAATGCTTACCATAAATGTAGCTGCATTCTAATTCATTTTGTGTATGAAACCTTCCATGATAATAGGTCAGGGGAGTGGGGGGATCATGTAACTCTACAGGCAGCTGCAGATAGAGTAAGTGGAAATCCATCTCTTTTTGCTCCCTTATTGCATTTTTCTTATTTGTTTTATTGGATTCATTTTTCTTAAGACTATACATGAAGCCCAATTGTTTACATTCTTGTAACTATTACTTGCTTGTGTTTTGCAATGTTATCCTCTGATCTCTTACGGGTATGTATTCAGTTTGGAGCCAAAGTTAATTTGGTAACATCTTTCCGGGACTCATGCTATATCGAGATCATTCCCAAAGACAGGAATCCCACCAGAGGTAGATCTAACCCTATCCACATAGGTCATCTTGCCTGTATGTTATGCTTATCATTAAATGAATCTCTATGTTAAGTTTGATTCTTGTAGAGTAAATTAAAAGTCCAAATCTTATTTCTTAGCTGCTACCATTTGTAAGTCTCGCATGCTTTACCTATCTTGAGAGAAACTGGATTTTATTTCATAATCATCACCTCCTCTACTTCTTAAGATTATGGGAATTTTGAAGCTAATACCAGGATAAGGAATGGGGAATTGAGAAGAAGAATTAACCTAACAAAGATGGATCATAATAACCCGTGTCATGTTTCAAAGTATGCCGTACTTGATTTTCCTGTTTCTAATTATCCCTTTGATTTGCATCATTGTATTAGACTAAATGTTTTGAGATTGATACAAATCTGTCTTGACGAGCCGTCTTTTCTTTATTCTTTACTTCCTAATATTGTGACTGCTCTTGTTTCCAGAACTTTGGCTGAGCTTTTGGAGCGAAGTTCATTACAATTCATTGTACGCAACTGGAGGTGAGGGACAAATCAATAGTTGGAGCTTGCTTTACCTTCAGCTGAACATTTTTATTTTTATTTTATTTTATTTTATTTACTAGCCGCCTTCATGAAAACTGTCTATGCCTACAGATGTTCCCACCAGAGTAGCAAGAAAGAAGCATTGGCTTTTCTAGATGTTTGACATTTCGTCAGGAGATCAAGTTATGCCACATCCATTGTTTCTTTGTTTTCTATACTTGTACATAATTTCCAAATAAACAGAAATTACAGAGTATTATATTCATAGTTTTTCTTTTTATTTCTTTAGCTTGTTTTAGAAGAACATTACTTTGGTAAATTTCTGTATAAAGTTTATTTCTGATAAATTTATCTTGACGGAGCCCCACTGCCCCCACATGCAAACTTCCGTTAACAGCTTGAGATTTTGAGATTAAGGCAAAACAATGCTTGGATTATCGATTTGGTCTATTATGTCCTCAAATTATTAGTTTTTCAACAGCTTATGTCCTTTCTCTGATTGAACCATTTAAAACTTATAATCAAACTTTGACTGTTAATTAAAAAGCATAATATGATGTCGTTTTGATTTTTTTTTTTTTTAATACAAAAAATTATTTTGATTTTTTTTTTAATGCACAAAATTATTTTCGAAGAAAGGAATTACTTAAAAAAAAAAAAAAAAAGGCAAACAATGAACAATGCTTTGTTCATGAAACCTCAATTTAAAAGTTAAAAATTGAATTATACGCAGAGGATTTAAAGGTTGAACTATATGCATAGGGATTTTAATAATTTTGTGCATTTTTTTTTCAAAACGAAATGATATTGAGTTTTTCAATCAACGATCAAAGTTTGATTATAAGTCTTAATAGTTCAATCAAATTAACGGATATAATTTGTTCAAAAATAATAGTTTAAAAATAAAACAAAACAAAATAAAATAACAATTGGGGTTTTATTTGACCACAATCATAATAGTTTAGGGGTAAAATATGCCATTTAACATGCAAACTACACAAGCATTTGGTAAATAATCAGTCTAGGAAGGAATAAAACAATCATGTCAAATATGTAGAAGTGCCAACGTACAATTAGCGACGGTTTATAAAATCGTCGCTAAAACCACGACAATTTAGCTATAGGTTTAGCGACGATTTTTCAAATTAGTCGCTAAAATTATCTATTTAACTGTTATTAAAATCATTGTTAATTTTTTAAAAAATTTTTTATCCGAATTTAATTTGCTGTTTGAACCAAATATATATAGAGAGATATAACCGAACTAATTAATATAAGCATCAGCTCACCTGTTCTGATTTAAGTGGCTGGTCCCCTCCGATTTTAATAATGGAAGAAAAAATTGACAGAAGCTAGCAGTGTCACGGAAAATGAAAAAAAGTGAATTTTGTGTGTGAGTACACGTGTTTGGTATATACATTGAGAACCAAACTAATTAATATAAGCATCAGCTCACCTGTTCTGATTTAATTGGCTGGTCCCAACCGATTTTAATAATGGAAGAAAAAATTTCCAGAAGCTAGTAGTGTCACGGTAAAGAAAAAAAGTGAGTTGTGTGTGTGAGTGCACGTCTTTGCCCTCTGTGTTTTAAAACAGGCTTAGTTACAGCTTGGATCATTTTTCAATAAAGTTTAATTGCTAGATTTTGGTATTTTAATTTCCCATATCTGGTATAGAGCCATTTAATTAGAAGGACATTGGAAAATAATTTGCAGATTATTCGGTGTTTAAATTTGATAGTAAAAATAATTTTGAACATTGGAAAATTTAGATGGAATATTTCTTTAATACAAGCTTGGTATCACATCTTTCAAAAAGTTGAATTATTTGTTTTTGAGAAGGTCATACGTGCTGAAACTGCAAAACAAGTTTGAGATGTTTTAAACAAATTCTTACTAAGGTGTAGATAAGGCAATGGAGGTGAATTTGCAAACTTTACGTACAGTTTTTGAACTTCTACGAATGCAAGACAATGAGATTGTTGACGAGTATCTTTCGTGCACACTAAAATTGACTAATTAGATGAAAACTAATACAAAATATATGATAGATCTCCTAATTATGGAGAAATTCTTTGAATCTTGATAGTTCGCTTTGAGTCTGTAATGGCAGCTATTGAATAATCAATAAATTTGAGTGAGCTGCTAATTGACGAATTACAAAGTTCATTAGCAGCCCATGAACATTGCGTGAATTAGAAGAAATCTATCATAACCATTGAAGAAGCATTGCAATCTCAGTTGAATATGAAAATCAAGAAGGAATCATTCAACAAAATTGAACACAATCAACATGGTCAAAGTAGCAAAGGTTAAGGTGAAATGAATAACAAATTTGATAAGCTACAAGGATATAATGAAAATACAAATAATATAGGTGGAGGTGATTTAAATAAGCACGACAATTTCAAATTCAATGCCATAAATGTCAACGGTATGGGTACTATAAGAAAGATTGCAAGTCTCACATTTGATGTCATCATTGCAAACGGTTTGGTCATTATCAATATAAGTGTTTACTTAAGAACTCAAACAATAGAACAGCACATACAAAATTTATAGAGATCGGTAATGATGCTTTCAAAATACTAATATTGGCGAGCCGTGAGACAGAAAAGGATGCTTTCAAAGCACATACAGAAAAGGATACAAGTTGTAACAATCATACAAGTGCTAACATGGATGAATCTTTTCATACACCAGTGACGCTTGGGGATAAAACAAAAATTCCGGCATTTAGAGAACGTAAAATTGGCATTAAATTAGAAGATGGATCGGTCTATTTTATTTTTGAAATGTTCTACACTCTAAGCTTGTACCAAAACTTATTGAATGAGACAAGAGGTATGATTTATGCTTCGAAGGCAAGACTTGCACAATCTTTGATTAACAAAAAATGTTAATAGCAAAGGTAAGCATTCTAATCATCGTTTGTATCCACTATGGATTAATTATAATGAGTTGTTTTGTTTTAGTTCTATGATCTTTTATGATAGTTGGCTATGGCATATGCATTTTGGACATTTAAACTTTGGGAGTCTGAAATTTCTTTCTAGTAAAAAATGATTTATGGGTTGCTACAAATTGATTCTCTTATAAAATTTTGTGAATCATGTAGTTTGGAAAAGAAACACCGGATTCTTTTTCGAAAGGAAAGATATAACTAAAAAATCTAAAAGATATGAGGTTTTTACTATTTATTTATTGTAGTAATTTTTTTCCCTTCATGTTTATATATATATATATAATGAAAAACTGTTCTCTTTCTTTGGAGTTGTTCGAGGGGAAAGTACCATATGTCCCATGGCCTGACAGCTCACTCCTGGTTGCCCTCTTTTTTAATGTACTCTTTTTTTTTTTCTTCACACACACACACACACATATATATATATATGGAGAGAGAGTTGAGAGTATATTTTAGATAGTTTGACTTAACTTGTTTTTAAAAAAATTTAATAATCATTAAAAAATTCACAAGTTTTATTTGTTTTTTTTATTTAGAATTTATCGAATCAATTTTGTTGTAGTTTTTATTTTAATATATTGACTTAAATATATTTCATACAATTTAACGATCCTAGCCTTTTTTATTATTTTTTTTTCTTTTTTTCTTCACACACACACATATATAAATAGGAAGAAATGCACTTGTGTGGCCGGGATAGGCCATATATATCATGAAATTAAGTGTGAAAAATAGAGAAAATAAATTGTTAATTTCTTTTTTTTTTTTTAGTTTTATGTATAGTTTGAAGAAGATATAATATATATCATATTTTTTAAGATTTTAGTTTGAACATATATATCAAAATATATTACTCTTATTGTTTAAAATTTATTTCTTTTTATTTCTTCAATTATTTGTTTCTTATTAAAATTCTTATCAAATTAATGTTTTGATATAATTTTATTTGGTAATAAATTTGGTTTTTTAATATATGAATTTTGGAATAAATTTTAGAACGTCGGTGTTTTATTTTTTAAAAGTATATTATCATAATTTATACAATAAATTATTTTTATGCTTTTTAAATGAGTGTTTTATTTTTTTAAAATATGTTATTATAATTTATAAATTCGATATATATATATATATATATATATATATATATATATATATATATATAGAGAGAGAGAGAGAGAGAGAGAGAGAGAGCGAGCGAGCGAGAGAGAGAGAGAGAGAGAGAGAGAGAGAGTTAAAAGTATGTTTTATATAGTTTGGCTCAATTTTTTTTTTTAAATTAATAATCAATAAAAAAAATCACAAGTTTTATTTTCTTTTTTATATATATTTATTTGAAATTTATCGAACTAATTTTCTTTTTTTAGTTTTTATTTTAATCTATTGACTTCAATATATTCTATACAATTTAGGTGGGTTTTTTTTTTTTGTATATTCTTCTATGTATTCTATATACTTTGAATCTATATATATATATATATATATATATATATATATATTAGTTTATTAGAAATTAACTATATATCCGCACACATAATACAAATTATTTATTTATTATTTTTTTATATTCTAATTTTTTTAAAATAAAATAAGGTAAATAATGTTTTGAAAGAACATCCTAATTATTCAAATACAAATTTTATGCTAATGTTATTAAATATTTTATCAATAAATATATATAAATCAAACGACTTCGTGCAATATATAGATTCGATTTACATTAATCATCGAAAATAAAACTTTTATTCACACTACACCATACGAATTGTTAACTCTATGTATGTAACGGTTGTTTGACCACAAGCATAACGCGAGTATCTAACTAGTAGAGAGCTAAAATGCCACTTGACCTCATACACTCAAATTATATTCAGTTGAGGTTCCTTCAAATAGAGATAGTAGGTACTTTATTACTTTTATTAATGACTTTAGTAGAAAGACTTTGATTTATTTATTGAAACAAAAATCAAAAGCTTGTGGTGTATTAAAGAATTTTTTTAGCTTATGTTAAAAAGTAAAGTGGGAGCTCCATAATTTGAGAATGGATAGAGGCATAAAGTATATTGTTGTTGATTATTTCCTAAAAAAATATGATATGAGACATTAATTGATCTGCTAGATGCACTCCTTGAAAAAACGGAGTGACAGGACAGAGAGGAAATTTTTTTTGAATAGATGCCCCACAACAAGTGTTTGTAAATTAAATTAAAAAAAAAGAAGAGACTTTTCAAGAGGCTTGGAGTCAGCAAAAACTAAATATTAGCCATCTCAAGGTGTTTGGTTTTATTGCTTATTCCCGTGTTCCTAATGAGGTAATGAAAAAATTGGAAGACAAATTTGAAAAGTGTATTTTCATCAATTACAGTAATAAGACAAAGGGTTATAAGTTGTCCAATCCAAAAATAAGATGGTGATCATAAGTCGAGATGTTACATTTGATAAAAGCGGTGTCTAAAAATGGATAGTTAAAGAAACAAAATCGTTGCTGTTACCAGTTAAAGTTTGCAATGATGTGCCAAAAATCTTTACTGCTATCAGTTAAAGTTTGCAATGATGTACCAATTGAAAATCAAACTCCACATTCTTCAACAGTTGTTCATGTAGAGTCTTTTTATCGTCCACAATGCCAACATAGCTTCCTGCACACTTGCAAGATTATGTTATTGAGAATGGCAATGATATTTGTGATGATGATGATGCAAGGTATTATTATTATTTTTTTTCATTTGTTGATTGATTCTGTGTCCTACCAAGTAATTGTTATTAATGATTGATGGTTGATGTAATAAAGTAAGAAATTTAGGCCATTAAGAAGAACAAAACTTGAGACCTAACCACTTTGTCCAAAAATAAGAAGCCAACAGGATTCAAATGGGAGTTCAAGATAAAGTACAAGTCTAATGGCCGTGTGGATCAGTTTAAAGCACGATTGGTGGAAAAAATTACAAACAAAAATTAGGTATTGATTATTTTCAAGTTTTTGCTCCTGTTACTAGACTTGAAATTGTTTGTATGTTCATTTTTCTAGCCACACATCAAATAAATGTAAAATCTAATTTTTTTTAATGGTGTACTTGACGAAGAGATGTATGTCGAACAACCTCCTAGTTTTGTGAAGAGAAAGGAGGAGAATAAGGTACACAAACTAAACACAGCCTTTTATGTTTTGAAACAAGCATCTCTGATCGATTCTTGTTTTAATTGGAATGGCTTTCGTAAGTGCCCCAATGAGAACTTTGTAATCAAAACTAATTCAATTGGAGATATTATTATCTTGCGCTTATATGTAGATGATTTGATTTTTACTAATAACAACATAAAGTTATTGATAAAGTTCAAAGTAGTCAAGATTGCTCAATTTGAGATGACAGTTATAGGTTTGATGTTTTTTTATTTTTTATTATTTATTTTTGGGTATTGAAGTTACACAGATAAAGGATGACATATTTATTTCATTGAAAAAGTATGCTAGTGATGTCTTAAAATAATTCAAGATGGAAGCTTGTAATCTAATTTTAACTCCAGTGAAAGAAAGATTAAAGATTGTTAAAAATGGTAATGGTGATTTGGTTGATTAACTAACTTTAAAAGATTGGTAGAAAGCTTACGGTATTTGATTTCTACTCGATGTGATATCAAGAATAGTATTGGTATTATTAGTTGAATTATCAAGACTCTGCGTCGATCTCATTTGCCAGCAGCAAAGAGCATCATGAGATATGTCAAAGGTATCTATTAGAGTTAGCTACTAAGGATCACAAAAGCACACTCGCTACTGCAGAGTTTGTGACTACGGAACTTGTGCTTCCATAGAAAAGTTAACCACGTGTATGTCAACTCTTCATAATAGTTAGGCTAGCCACATGGGTGCCAGCTCATTCAACAATTTGTTATTAAATTAGTTAGTTAGTTAATGGTTGTTAAGAGTTAGTTTTAGTCTATTAGTCAAGTAGTTAGTCGGTTAGCTTTAACCTTTGCGGATAGCATATATATATATATATATATAGGTGTGTACTACAGCTATGAA